AGGTGCTCTATAAATATCTCCAGTGAGCAACAGAAATTTTTTTGTGACTCCAAGGTACAAAAATTCATACTGACAAGTTACAGATGTTTCTGCTCAGGGGAATGTTTCTGGTACAGGTGGTCCTTGTCTTCCAGAGATGCTAGGTCCTCTACCTTTGTCACAAAACTTTCAGGAAGAGAAGCCAAACTTAAAAGCTGTTGACAGTAGCATTTGGTGAGCTCCTCTTATTCTACCTGAAACCAGCTCGAGTTTTCACAAAGGTCGTCAGGGGAAAGGTGTTTCCGTGTGATACTCGGTAAGAGTGTGTTAAGTCAGAAGGGTACAGCAGAGTTCGCTTTCACTTCCCTCCAGTCCATTTCCTCACTTCCCTAATACAGCCTTCTACAGAGGTGGCATGCTATACTCCAGTGGCTCCCCAGCCCCAGATATGGTTGCCCTGTGGGAAACACGGTTGGTCTGTGGGAAGAGACAGTCAATTGTTCCCCGGTGTCCACTTTCCTTTTCTAATATTACAGAAGAAAATGAGACAAGCCATGACCATCCAGCTAAAATCCGAATGTTTCTCCAGCTGAGAATTTCTGAACTGTGGACTATATGTGATGGATGTGAATTCCAGGCTGTTCATTAGATGAACATGCCAATTAGGGAAGAGGACAAGGTGTTAGAGAGATCTACCAGATAAACTTGTTTTTGTTTGCGACTGCCCTACCTGGTCCATCAGACATTCCCCAATCTGTGTTTAACAGGACTGTCAAAGCATACGCGTCTGACTCTGAAGATATAAAGAATGACATCCATACATGTACACAAACACAAGCCCATAAGACACTCCTATCATCAGATAAACACATAAACCATAAGTGCAAGAGCATATAAGACAGGCACAATATTAAGTTATTTCAAGGTAAGGGAACTGAGAACTTGAAAGAAGTTAATTACAAATCACAAATACCTTACCTTACTGACACTGTATGAGAGAAACTGAATAGCTCTCTAAAGATAGATAACACATGAAGAACTACTAAGTCTGCTAGCCTGAAAGGAAAGACAACTGCCCAGTACCACTTAAGGACATAAGCTAATTAAAGTTTGAACCAAAAGAAAACAATAACAAATAATCGCTCTTAGCTAAGTTTACACAGCACCCTTTTGGGTGTTTGTTCAGAATCAAGGCAGTTAGTCAAAATCACCTCAATGGAACACTATGCTTTCTTTCTTTAGATGAGGAATTGAGAACTAGAGCTGCTGTAGTCATACAACCAGTAAGTAACAGCCATGTGCTACTGATCAGGTTGTCTTTAGACACCCATTTTAACCACTGCGTAACAGAGCTTGTCCAAGAAATCAAGCAAAAGGTAAATTGCATCATATGATCCTGATTACAAATACTTTTCAACATTATTCTCAACAGTTTTAAACTCCAAGTAACAACAAAGCATACAGGTAATGGGAGTTAAACAGGAAAGTCCCGAGAAGGTTTGGTAATAGTTTCAACTTCAGTAATACAATAGAGGATCCTTTTACAGTGCAGTAAAGGAAGTGACGGGAATTTAAAGAGTCTCACAATGCTAGTGAGTCAAGTCAAGGATGTAATCAGCACATGGCTTAATCTGTTTGTACTCAATCCAGGAAATCCCAAAGCTTACGAGTATATTTCTCACTATTTGCGTAAATAGCAGACTCAAAAGGTGTTTGGAATTTGGGGGAAGACACAGCTCTGTTTCTAGTGTGAACATTTTAACAGGACGAACTGGAGTCATGAAGCTGAGTCAGAGAGGAGCTGGAGAAATAACTCAGCAAGTAAGAGCACTTGCCGTTGTTCTTCTAGGGGTCCCAGGGTCAGTTCCCAGCATCCACATCAGGTGGCTCATAATGGAAGCGTCAGGGGGTCCAATGCCCTTCTCTGGACTCTATGGGCACCCACAACATGGCAGACACACATACATTCACACATACAATATAAACAAAGTTTAAAAATAAAAATGTTTTAAAGTGAGGTGAGGACATGCTACATTGTCAAGGGATGATAGACTGACTCAGAGCACCTTTCTGCTCTGACCCAATTTAAAAGTGACCCCACGCAAAAACATCACAGTGCTCACCTTCAGGAGAAAGAAGACACAGGCAAGGCCAAGTTGGCAATATAACTCTATATCCACTGTTTTCTCAAAGGAGCCAGGCTATAAATGTTGTCTCTTTACTGGGCCACAGCATGACTGTTTTTATCACAACCATCAACTATCAATCAAAGATTTTGTACTACCTTTACTCCATATCAAACACACACACACACACACACACACACACACATGTTGAAGTCCAAGTTGAGCCTGACTAAATGAGTGGTCCAGGCCCTCAGAGACTGAGCAATCTCTACCTGTACTCAGAACTTCTTAGCATCACAAGACACAGGTGTTTATACTCTATTTCCATCCAGAGAGAAATGACATTCTTGAAACTGGGGAAGAGTTCCTCTATTATTTTCTTTTTTGACAAACACAAAAAGCACACCTCCCGAGCATATCATATCACTATAACCATGGGAAATATGTTTAAACCATCCTTAAACAGTTTGAGAATACACTCCTATAAAGAATTCAGTACGTATGGAAAGTCAGGAATTCTTCAAGATATAAAGTCTCTTTATATCATTAGTATAATTTTAAGGGATGGAACTGCCATAAGTTTTGTCCAGAATAACACATGTTTACCAAAGATTACCATTTACTTTCTTCCTTTGGAGAGAGAGGACAGCAGGGTGTTGAGGATATAGCCTAAGCCCTCACAAATGTCAGGCTCTACCACTGAGCCACCTTTACAAACCTCATGAAATGCTCCTATCTCAACTGATATTCTTTTAAAATATATTTTATTGCATTCATTTATTTACTGTATGTATGCATGTGTGTAGGTGTGCACAACACTTGTTTAAATGTAGGAGGATAACTTTCAGGATGTAGAATTTGGTTCTCACTTTCTACCATGTGGGTCCCAGGATTGAACACAAGTTTTCAGGTTTGGCAGCAGGCACCACTACCCACTACCCACTGAGTCATACCACCAGCATCCAATCTACATTCATAATTCAGAGAACCACTGTAATCCACTAATCCATTAATTCAACCTAGGTAACACTGCAATCCACCTTATCAAATTCTGTACAAGACACCTGGCCAATGCTTATATCTTTCATCTTCTACATATATTGATTATTGCATTTGGATCTAAAAGTTTCATGAAAGATATTTTATTAATTATTTTACCTTTGAAACAAATATTAGGGAAACATTGATCACAAAGCATGAAGTCAAAGCTGGATAGAAGTAAAAAGTTTTAGTTGAAGTACAGTGACTGCAGCTAATTACTTTAAAAATAGTAACTGGATAGATTTAAAATAATAAGTACATGAGGTGATAGGTAAGTTAGTTCACTTGATTTACACATTCTATAATATGTGTCAGTATTATAGCTCTGCATCATACTTCATACATATATATAATACCTGACATTTTTAAAAAGATGAAAAGGATTAAAACCAGAACTACTTAAAGTGTTTATGTTAGAACTTCATTCTCACTTAATTGGATTTTGTGGGAGGTACTGATGAAAAAATGCTAGCAAAATTCCATTAACATTTATCAAACTTTAATTTCATGTATTTATCATAGCTAGGCACTATAGGCATAACAAAGTGATATCATATAATTATCACATGTTTTAGATGTAATGAGAGCTAAGAAAGGAAAAGAAACTTAACTGGATCTATAATGTAAGTGACAGAGCCACTAAAGAATCCAATTCTGACAACCAAGGTTGTGTGCATGAATACTAGGTTATAGCACACTGGGAAAAGAATGGAATATGGAATACAGCACACTTGTGATGCAGAATTAAAATTTATTTTGTTCCACAGAGGCCAGTCTACAATAACCCCTCAGAATTAGATAGATTTAGTTTAATATTTGACACTAGATGTAGCTATGTGATGGATTATTAATACATAAGGGCTTGGAAGACTGATGAGATGCTTTTATTCTGCCCCTAGATGTGTGGTTTGGTGACATCAGAGTTAAATTCCAAACTTCATAGTTCTAGAACTCAAGATGATATTCCACAAGACCTCAGTGGTTCTATTTACCACTTTAAAACAAGTGTGCAAAGCTGATACATGTGTTCTGGTGGGAGGTAATTGCTTGAGATACGCTTGAGACTAGAATTAACTGAGGAATAAGGAACTTCTGCTAAGCATTCCTCAGGCCTTTCCCTCAACAGTGCACGGTTCCTTGCAGGTGTAAAGTCACAAGAAATGGCAAGATAAAGAAGGATTTGCAGGTTTTGCTCACAAAGAGGCTTTGTAGGGATGAATAAGGGTCACCTCTGGAGAACTGCTTTCTATGTTAGGTTGGCAATCTCTTATAAGTCATCTCGTCCAAGAAAAGGAAGTACCACCAGTGCTCTTCTCCTCTAGGTCACAGAACGATGCTTGTTCAGTGTTCTCATGGTACATCTCACAGAAACACGGAGGGATTTTATTTAGATTGAACATTATTTGAGTGTAACCATGGCCACAATTATAAACTCAGGTATCCAAGACCTTTCCCACCCAATTAAGCACTACAGCATCCTACTGATATCTGTATGGAGTGAACATGAGATTTCTTTCCCATTAGTATGGTAGCCAGAGAGATTTCATGAGTAATAGTGATGAATTTGTACTTAAGTATTCATAATATCTGCTAAAATATCTTTACTTACCCTCAGGATATGTTTTCAGGAAACTTGGCCAAGCTACGGATTCAGTGCCTGCTCTTGTAGGTAGGTGAATAGCATGTTCTAATTTCACTTACATCCTCTAGCATTTACAAGAGGCAAAGTTAAACACTCTGAGCTACACCCTGGATGTAAATGTCCCTCTCCACTGAACAAGCTCAACAAGCACAACTGTCACAGACATGAACACTTAGGAAGACAATCAGAAGTCCTCTTAGGAGGTGCCTTACCAAGGACGCTCCAAAGGCCCAGATGGAGGATTAAGAGTTCCCTAAGTAACCCTGGAGTCCCAAGCATGGCAGGCAGTGTCTTCATTCCCAGCACCTATGAGGCAGAGGTGATCTCCTCAAGCAGAAGACTCCTCTTCCTCCTAGGGAATCTTCGGAGCTGGGTGGTGCATTCTACCCTGGCAGCATCTTAGGGGAGAAACAGATGAGGAGAACGGGTGGGAGAGGACAGGACGAAGAGCCTGAATGGCTTTGTGAGCAGAGACTCTGCTGTGGTTTTGCTGCTGATCCAATCTGCTCTTCACTTTCAGTCCCTCTGATGTGCAGCGCAGCTGGGTCCCTGCTGCTTCTTCCGCTCTGCCACCATTCTTGCATCACTTTGAGGTTTTTTTTTTTTTTTCTCAAACAATTAAACTTGAAAGAAATCCAAGTTTCCAGCCTTTAGGTTTAGCTTTTGATCAAATCAGGGTTGGGAAGTTAATGGTAAAAGTACCTATGATAAACATACATATCCCCTTTTCATGGCTTGTGGGTTATGATACTTCTATGCAGTGTATCTGAGAGCCCCCCACCCCCACCCCATCATGTCGAAGTAAGATGAGAATGCTCAATGACATGAAAACAATGAAGACTTATCTGAGGTTATGGAGAAAATGACTGACAGGATGTACTTCACCAACAGAAGAAGACGGGGCCTCCTTCACTCTGGAGATACCTATCAACGGAACATGATCACCATTAATGCTGGCTACATGTTCTCTCTAAATATTAAAGTTCTAAGCCAAATGAGACCTTGAATACCAATTAAGGGAAACTTCCATTTGCAGTATGCTTTACATGGTTGTTGTCTAGATTAATCAGGAAAGTAAGAAATGGAAAAGTTCTAAATTAGATAGCTGGGGGGGCTATGGACTCCTGGCCCACATTCAATCACAAGCATGTAACAACAGGTACTTATGTAATTCCAAATGAAAAGGCTCATTTTGTATCATGTGTCCATTTGTAGTCATTGATAGAAATTGAGAAATCTTTCCCTCGGAAGTTGGTGATACCCATCCAAGGCCAAACTCCAGTTATGTAGTTATTGTGTATACATTGATTCAAACAGATAAGCCACAGTAGTTGGAGATACAAACATGAATGAACACACTACTCCTGAATTTAAGGAAGTTGGCCAACCAATATTAACAGCCACATACCCCAGATACACCAGATAATACAGTCTACAGAGTTCTTAGAAGCTGACTGCTGACCAAGGAAGCACACTGTATATGGTGTATTTTATACTACTCATTACTCTTCCTTGCTCAGAATAGGTGCACAATTCCTGTGGCAGTTAAAGCAAGGTTCATTGTCCTTTCAAACTGGTCTGAGAGGTTTAAAAGAAAAGTCTTGAAACGCCCAATCGTAAAGCCCAATATACCATCCAAACCAAAAGTAAAGCCTGTCAGGTAGAGACCTTCATAATTCTCTACCCTGGTGGTTGTTCTCCTCCCTCTCCCGCCTCCGCCTCCTCTTCCTCCTTCTGCTTTTGGTGTGTGTGGTGCATGCAAATGTTCATGTAGATGTGCAGACATGCTGTGTGCACTCTGAGTGTGTTCCTGGGTCGGGTTTCTTTCTCAGTCATTTTCTACCTTATGTCTTTAGACAGGGTGTCTCACTGAGCCACAGTATACTGGCTGTGAACTCCAGGAACCCACTCCTCTCTCACTCACTCCCTAGCACTGGGATTACCAATAGATATCACTCTATCTGGGCTTTTATATATCTTCTGGGAATCTGTGTTGGGTCCTCAAGTACTTTACTGGCTGAACCATCTTCCCAGCCTCATGACTTTATCCTCATATAAAGGAGTCTAGACTTAATTCTTAAAAACATCACAATGGATTTTAAGTGATGTCCGTTCTGATAGTCTTATCAGTGTGCCTGGCTGTTTATCCCTTCACAGCTGGCAGTACTGAACGTGCCACTAGCCAAGACTATGCCTCAGAATCTCACTCGTCTTTATTCTAGTAAAGAATTGAAAAAGGCCAGATTCAGAAATGCATTGCTCAGTAACAAGTCTGTATTGCTTTGTGTTTATAACTTAACCAGTAGCTAGGCTTTTTATCTCAAATCACCGCCCCCATAATCATATACCATTTGATCTTAAAATTGTAATTTCCATGTCAATGAACATATTTGAAAAGTTTACTGAATTCTTAGAAGTGATTCTTTGTATACTAGGCACAGTTTTTAAAACACAAACTTTAAAACAGGAATTGATAGTTTTAGGTTGAATGACAAAAAGTAAAATAGGGTTTGGCAAAATGCAAATTAGCTTTACAAACATTCAAGAGCAACTTGCACAACAAATTAGTCAACTTACTTGCTAACGGTTACTTTTGTGAATCATAAAGCAACCTTATTTTCTGTAGTAATTCCTCCAGGTGATTGAAACTTAGCAGCAGCCACAAACTTAGATACAATTGTGTTTGACAACATCAGACCCATCAGTCCTGATTTTTTAAAACCACACCCAAATAATAGTCCATAGCCTCTACGAGAAGCACTACTCTGCGTCTAAGACCATCGTTGTTCTAATGTCTGTACTTTCCTCACTAACGTTATTGCTAGCAGTGGCATCTAGATATGGCTGGTCTTTACAATCAGCCTGAGCGATGTTAGAAAATAACGGACTCCCAAACCATGATGGGGAAACCCACAGAAACAACTGACTCAAGCAAGTGAGAGCTTACTGACTCCAGACTGACAGCTGCAGAATCCCCATAAGACCGAACTAGGCCCCCTCTATGTAGATGACAGTTGGGGGTGCTTGGACAGTATATGGGTCCTTTGGTAGTGGGACTAGTATTTATCCCTTGTGCATGAACTGGCTTTATGGAGGCCCATTCCCTTGCTCAGCCTAGATACAGTGGGGAAGGCCTTGGACCCACCTTGATGTAACAGATTTTGATGATTCCCCACAGGAGGTGGGGTGGGGTGGAGAGAGAGTGGGGGGAGTGGCAGAAAGGGAGGGCATAGGAACTGGGATTGGTATGTAAAATAAGATGGTTTAAAAAATAATAAAAATGGCTGGGCAGTGGTGGCTCACACCTTTAATCCCAGCACTCGGGAGGCAGAGGCAGGTGGATCTCTGTGAGTTTGAGACCAGCCTGTCTACAAGAGCTAGTTCCAGGACAACCTCCAAAGCCACAGAGAAACCCTGTCTTAGAAAACCAATAATAATAATAATAAATATAAAGCAGAAAAATAAAAAGAAAAGAAAATGATTGACTGTTAGATCCAGCCCTTAACCTGCTGGGTTCAGATTCCACACAGCTGTGGCCAGAGTACTATTTTGAAAAACATACAAACATGTCTCTGACACATTGGATTGAAAGTGTGGTTAGACATCAACTGGTTGGTGGAATTGGTCAATTTTTGACATGTGGTAGCAAATATTTGATACTCACTAGTTGTCATGCTTATTAAATTCTTAGAGCCCAAGGATACCCCACATAGATTGTCCTCTACAGATGTGTTTTCTCTGAGCTCTGGGAATGGCAGTTAACTCAGGCCTCAGACATTAACTCCCTCAGTGTGTTCTCCATTGAGAAGCACTTTACTCGAGGTCATGCTGTTCTTGATGCTCTGCATGCAAAACAACGGACCAAGGGATGTATGCAAATCAATGGTTATTTTCACTCAACATGGAATGCTGGAGGAACATTCTTGCCCTAGAATGCATCCTTGAGTTGGCCAGGTGCAGGTGGAGTTTTCCTGTCCCAACCTCCTGCTCCCAAATAACTGGCAGCTACTTCCAAAACAACTAACTCAGGGGCTTAATATTGTCTATAAACGCTCAGCTGATAGCTCAGACTTGTTGCTAGCTAACTCTTAATTAACCTATTTCTATTAATCTGCGTATTGCCACATGTCTTGTGGCTTGTTACCTCATTTCTACACGTCCTACTTTCTTGGCATCTGGCTGGCATCTCCTTTGACTCAGCCCTCCTCCTTCTCATTCTCACTTTGGCTTTCCTGCCTAACTTTTACCCAGCTACTGGCCTGTGAGCTTTTTATTAACTGAGAGTAATATATACTCACAGTGTACAGAGGATTATTTCACAGCATCCAAGGTTGTCAGGCCTGCACCACAGTTTAATTTCTCCCTGTCCTACTTCAACTTCTGTCTTTACACAGATGTGTATTCCTAATCATTTCAATATCTTCTCCCAGTGAACCAAATCCACTCATATCTCTATTCCTAGTTTTGTAGACTAAAGATGGTAATAATACCATTCTATTAGGCTGGTTGGTTAACTGAGGGGATTTGCACAGTGATCAGAAATTGTATCAATAATTATCCTCAAATGATGGTTAGTTCTTACTTGGAAAAGATAGATACCAAGACATTATTAGTAATCCAAACACTAATGGTTGTGGAAGCACACACACAAACTCCACACTCCAAGAACATCTTATTCAGTTTTTATCGGCAGACTTGTATACACTATGCTTCTCCCATTTACTCACTATGATATCTTAATACAAATTACATCATATCTTCTTTTAATATTACATCTCCAACAGAGTTCTTATTTTTTTAAGGAATAAATTAAGGAAAAGGAAGTCACAGAGTGTGGGATAGAAAATAAATAAAAACATAAACTGTTTTATTAATTCTATTATCAATAAACCAGTACAAAACCTCTACAAAACACAATAGCAAGTTAAAATGAGGCACTTCCTTGGCAGGGCTGAAGATTCCAGTCTCTGTATTAGGAATTTATAATGCAGAAACTATATAATATACGTTCTTCATAATACCTACATTGCTTCATCTGTAAAACAGGAATATTAACACCCATGTGAAAGATTGGTATGACGACTAGAGGGGAGGGATTTTATGGAGATCTCCAATTTAGACTCTTCCTCCATGTAATATCTGGCTGTGGGTTTCTGCTCCTCCTCCCGTATGCTACCAGAAGAAGCTTCTCTGACAACTGGAAAGGCACTGATGTGTGAGTATAGCAGATTTTTGTTGGAATTATTTCATTTATTTTTTCCAGTAGTGTTTGGGCTATCCAGTCTCAGGTTCCTAACCATTCAAGCAATGTAGGGCATGGACTGCCACTTGTGGGGTGAGCCTCAAGTTAAACCAAACATTGGTTAGCCACTTACACAAGTTCAGTGCCACCATTGCTTGGCTACAAAAAATGGTCAGTTCATTATCTGGTATCTCCATATCCTCCATTTCTAGGAGTCCCCACTAGAGTCACCCTCATAGAATCCAGGGAGTTTCAACTGAGCAAGGCTTTCACACACCTCCCGTACTCCACAATTGCAACTGTCTCTCCCTGCACACAGTCTCCCTCCCACATGATTATTCTATATCATTGTTCCCTTTGTGAAGCCAACATTATGACTGATTAGCACACTTCTTTGTCTCTTAGTTTTATGGATATACATATGCTTCAACATATCTCAGCTTTGAGATCTCAGCAAAATACTAAGTTCTGAAACCATGACATTATTCTGCCATTAGAGCCTTGGGGGAAGGAAGTTTTCATGGGGCATAGAGTATTATAATGTGTCTCCAATGATAAGGATAATAATTAAGCAAGATACTTCAGTGTCTGAACTCTGACATTTCAGCACTACTTTTGTGCTAAACCCAATAGAGGTGCCTAAGTAGGTTTATTCCTGGAAGATACAAGACTAGCCGATGAA